TCAAACTGGTAAGTTATAAATTAGATTCATATTTAATGACAGAAAAGGAATGAAAGGAATGCGCTTTCTTCAAGTGAAACTTTAAATCATAAATTTGTATTTTTTGGTTAAATATTATATAGTTTTAATAATAACAATAATAATATTAATTAAGAAAAATTTTCTTTTATAATTAACAACCTTCCGATATATTCTGTCACTCCTGATTAGAATGAAAATTTCAGTCCCAGCAAAAGATATGAAAGAGTAGTTGACTATATAGCAGTATGTTTAGAAATAGCATTCTCTTTAAATGTTCGGAAGAAATACGATATCATTTTGATGAAATAGGTTACGTATTTGTGTAACTGTAAATAGTTTGGGTTACGACTAATCATCATACGGCCGGAAACTGTGTAAACCGGAGTTATACTGTACATAACATTTTTACTTGTTTGGCAGGTTTCCAGTTTTGAACGTGCTTTTATTAACAGAAAATCGCTGCTTTCATAAGAATTTTTACCCGTTTAGACAGGTCTCCATTTTATTTTAGACTTTTCAACCTGTCCGGATTCGATCCTCGGTCTCCCAGAGCAGTAGGCTGACATCTTAACCGCTTGGCTATCCGGTCGTCAAGAGAGTTGACTTCATTGTAAGACGAGATTATAGATCTCACCCTACAATGAGGTCAACCCTACTGTGAATCTCATTCCTCTCAATAAATCGCCATAAATATTCATGATAATCCTTGTTCAATAGTCCTTTTGCCCACTAGTGGCCAAGCGGTTCCGTTCCCTGAACACTGGGAGTTCGAACGGTCGTGGGTTCGCGCCTCGCCAGGAGTGGCTGGCCGAGGGAACGCCTGAATACGGGTCATTAACCCTTAAAAAGACCTCCTGGAAGGCATCTCCCTCTAGGCAGACCGCCCAAGTGTTGCGTTGCCATATAACTTAACTAAACAAACAAACCAATAGTCCTTATCGTGGTGCCCACCAATGACCGAGTGAATAAAACCACTGAACTATCTAGCTGTTAGAAACGTGAAGTTTGTAACATCTAAATATGGGCCAGTTTCCCTTAAAACTCCTTCCGAGAGACATCCTCTCGGCAGATATTCCACGAGTTTCATTGCCCTAAATCAGGGATGGCGAATCTTTTTGAGCCTACGTGCCATAGAGTAAGCATACTTACTTTTAAAGATGTTTATACGTGCCAAAGATTTTAAATAAATTAAACGAATATGCTTTAACTACAATAAATGTAAACAAAGTGACTTCAAAAGGATGATCAAGTGATAAACCGAAAAAACGATTGAAAACGACAGATGATAAATCGAAATTGTGATACGTTACGTGCCAGATGATTTATCCTTTGTTCCACTTTGGGCACGCATGCAATAGGTTCGCCACGCCTGTCCTAAACGAATCCAAACACGAATTCATATCGTAGTGTTATATCATGCGTTAACAAATACAAATCTGAGGTTTTCAATTCATTGCATTACAATGGAGATAAATGGAAAAATCTTCGCAGATCTGTTTCGAATTATCGCAAAATACCACTTGAATATTCAGCAATAAATCATAATTTTAATATTTCATTGTTTTCAGGTGATGATGACTGTGGAGCTTTAGAAGAATATAACGAATGTGGAATTGCGTGTCCAGTCACATGCGAAAGTTACCGAAATCCAGTAAGGATCTGTAAAAAAATGTGTGTTCCAGGTTGTTTTTGCAAATACGGATATGTAAGAGCTCCAAGCGGCTTGTGCATACTTCCAGAAGAATGCGATTCTGATTAATTTAAGAGTGATTTTAAATCATTCTTAAACAAATAAAAACGAAAATTTTCGAAATATTTTGTAATTTTTATTACATTTCACATGTTCTGTTTTAAAGATTTTTCATTTAAAATTAGCAAAGCAAAACTTTTAAATATCGTAATATCATATCAAATTAATATCGATGATATTTTTATCTCAAATTTTCATTAAAAAGTTTTCATAATTTTAAATGGAACGTTTCAGAAACTTTCATTGAATCGTTAAGGTTAATTCCATGAAGATACTATAGTCGACACTCTGGCGTTGTTGTATAAAAGGTATAATTCGTGAATTATTCTATTTTTAAATTAATATAATTTTATGTAATACTTTTATAAAGTAAAAGCACTTATATTCGGTACAAATAAAGGGCCAGCAAAGCCATTTGGATGGTACCTAGAACATCGCGAGACCTCGAAACTTTATATTTTATAATTATAAAAAACATTATACAAAAGTGATTAAAACTTTTTCTATTTAATTCGTTTATTTTTAAGGCTATCGGACAATGATAAGTTTTTATTTCTGGCCCACCAATGACTTAATGGATAAAACACCCAAACACTGGTTCTGACCCGATCACGTGGAGATTACTGATTTTCTTTACGTATCTAATATCTAAACGCACATTTGGCGGTGCGTTCATTACAGATCACAATTTCTTTCATTGTTGTTTGAAAATGTATATAATGCGATAATAATTCCTTCAAACTGTTTATAATTAAATAAATTTTGGAATAATTAGTAATGAAATAAATCTGTAATGCACCGTCAAGTGTGCGTTTGAAAACCGAAATATTGTTTTATTACAGTTTGGTACAGATCGAGCAGAAGGTTTAGGAGTTAATAATAGGAATGAAATCAGGAGGAGCACCTATTCTATTATCTATATACCGTATATAAAAACACACAAGAAACCGCCGAGTCCAACAGCAATTCCGACAAAATATAATGATTCTGTAAAAACGTGTAATCCATCAGACTAAGCAGTTCCGAGAAACCGTTCCGTCGGAAGAGTTTGGACTCAAATCAGTTCCAACAGTTCCAGTCCGAGAAACGTTCTGGCCCACCAGTGGCCAAGCGGTTCCGTTCCCTGAACACTGGGAGTTCGGTCGTGAGTTCGCGCCTGGCCAGGACGGGCTGGCTACGTGAAGTATTCCGGGTTTTCTCCGCGTCTGTAACGCATGAAATTGTGGGATTGTGCCAGTAACCCTTAAAAAGATATCCCGGAAGGCAACCCCTAGGCAGATCACCCAAGTGTTGCGTTGCCGTAACTTAACCAAACAAACCGAGAAGCGTTCTAATTCCAGCTCGTTCGCTCGCTTACTTGACGGTTAGCCTCTACCGAGTCTTATGAAATGTGAATCGTCCATGCCTCGTCTAATCTCTAAAGGCCTTAATTTATACATTCAGAAATTAACCATAATTAGGAAAAACGCACGAATTTCTTTCTAATTTTTAATTATGAAATTGTATATTCTAAGAATAAACTTTATACTACGTTCGCACACAATCCACGACTCACTTCGATCTCGATTTACCTACAATCTGAATTGTGACTGTCGCCAGTCGTCAGTCGTCATGCTGTTCGCACAGGCAATCCGCTCAAGAAGAACCCGGCTGTTACACGCGATAATAAGACTGACATAACTACGAGGTAAGTCACGAACACCAACAAACAAAATGGAAGTTTTGGTTAGAAATAAATACTTTTTTTTGCCGTATATCTAATAATAGACAGATGTCATCGTCTCTCCAGATATCTTTTTTTATTTTTCTGTCGATAGCCGGACACGTGTTCAGCAGCCATCTTGTATTTTCTCGCGCGCGTGGGATTGTGGAATCTCTCTTATGACTGGATCTAGTTTCAAGAACTCTCTCGAGTCGATCGCGATTTAACCTCGTTTGAGTCGAGATTGAAACGGTCGAGAGAGGTCACACCACGGAACAGTCTCCGACCTTGGTCACAATGTAGATCGAAATGCTCGGTGCGAACAGGGTATTACATTAGGTATGGATAAAACGGCCAGCTTAATATCCAAAGGGTGGAAAGAGTCAAATATAGAAAACAAATTGGAGATTAAGCCTATGCTAAATATTAACAATCTTATGACTAAATACTGTGAAAACAGAATAAATTTCGTTTTCAATGGATTTTTCGGGTTGTTCTTTTTTAATATATAAAATCTAAGTTAATGAAATTTTAACGCTTTTACCGATTAACCTTGTATAAGTTTTTGAAAATCCTTGTTTCTTAATCTTATCATTAATTATCTAAAATATCAGTAACATTGTAAACCAGATGCCCCTTTCTCAGTCCGAAAATTTGTATGTATATATAAGCCACTTCCTTCTATTCAGAATCAAATTTTCAAGATGAAAACCATTCTCTTATTCGCTACTGTCTTTGCTGTTGCTATTGTCCTCGCAAGAGGTAAGATATAATTTAATATTATTTTTGTTTGCACAGTTTACACAAAAGTGTTCAAATTAGCTGATATTCTTTCATTGCATGAGAATACGTACAAGAATTTCCCTTGTAATTAAAAGAAAATTGAACACTAATTTTGCGTATTTCTTGCAATGAAAAGTTCTCAGTTTACAAAATGGATTTGTGTTGGATTCATTCTGAAATTCGCGAATAGCTCAAGTTAAGTTGATATTTCCCGCTCTTTATCCATTTTAATCCATTGAAATTAGTCGGCCTGTTAAGAAAACGAGATTTTTTTTTAAACTTTCCTCCCTATGGGCATAGAGAGGTGAGTTTCATCAGGTCCATAATGGGTCGTTCGATTGGTCGGACGGTATCAGGACGGTTCATTCCCAAAAAATTCCTAGGATTTTTTGGGGATGAAACCAGAAATCGAATCCTGATGAATAAAAAGAATTTTATTCATCAGGATTCGATCCCGGGTCACCCAGGATAGTAGAATGACACCTTAATCGCTCGGTCATCTGAGCGATAAGACGATGAGATTATAGATATACAGTATAGCGTCGGTTATCCGAAAGAATTCCAGTCGAAAAATTTAAATTTTCGCTAGTGCTGTGGCGCTGCAATCTTTGGCTACATCTTGGGCTACTCCAATATTTTTTTTGTTGTTGTGTTTTCTTTAGTAGGCAGCAGTGGCTCTTTTGTGTGGTGTTTTTCTGAGGACTGTGTGTCATGCTGAATAGAACGTTTTTGATACTAGATTAGCTTCTAAAGTATAATTTTTTTGTTTTTATACTTTTCATTATATTTATTTTGTTTGTAAAAAATAAAGAAATAATTTTTAACGATACAATAGCCACGATTATTATTTTAAATAGTTTACGTTATGCTTAACATCGACGAAAAATCAACGCAAAGCGAAACGCAACGGAGAAAAATTTCAACGGGATAGGTTAATGTATTTTTCGTATATAATCGGTTATCCGAAAAATAAGTTATCCGAACAACCCCAGTTCCCAATTGATTCGGATAAACGACGCTCTACTGTAGTTCTATAATGAAGTCACCCTATTGTGAGTTTCATCTCTCCTAATAAATCATCATGAATAAGAACTTGAGATTCTTCATTCATGATAATTCATGTCGAATAGTCCATATCGTGGTGTCGTGTCATGCATTAGCAAATACAAATTCGAGGTTTTCAATTCATTGCAATAAATGGAAAAATCTTCGCAGATCTGTTTCGAACTATAGCAAAATACCACTTGAATATTCAGTAATAAATCATAATTTCAATATTTCATCGTTGTTTTCAGGTGATGATTGTGGGGATTTAGAAGAATTTCGAAAATGCGGAACTGCGTGTCCAGATACCTGCGATAATTATCAAAATCCAGTAAGGATCTGTAACAAAATGTGTGTTTCAGGCTGTTTTTGCAAAAAGGGATATGTAAGAGCTCCAAGCGGCTTGTGCATACTTCCAGAAGAATGCGAATCTGATTAATTTAAGAATGATTTTAAATCATTCTTAATTAAGCAAATAAAAATCTTGAAAATTTTCGAATTATTCTGTAATTTTCATTACATTTCAAATGTTCTGTTTTAAAGATTTTTCATTTTTATTTTACAAAAGCAATAATTCTAAATAATTTCATACCAAAATTAATTTCGGTATATCAATGATACTTTTCTTTCAAATATTCATGAAATGTTCTAATAATTTTAAATAAACATTTTATAATCTTTCATCGAATTGTTAAGTTTAATTTCATTAAGAGACTATAGTCGATGTTTTCGCGCTGTTGTCTAAAAGATCAAATTCGGGAATTATACTATATTTAAATTAATGTAATTTTATCTAATACAGTATATTCATCAAGTGTATTCCTCAAACGTGAAATCGCAGCATCATAAAGGAATGCGTGTAGACACATGCGCATTGCAAGATCGGTAGAGGTGACAGATATGCAAATGATTAAAAGAACAAAGACGCAACAGACACTTGTTTATTCAGTAACGAATATGAACCCCACCGGCAGCTATACAGGTTGCTATAAGGCGTACTATCAATGAGGCCTGAGATATTCCTTGCTAAACTGTGTCTAATGCAATGCACATGTTGCCTACGGTATGTGGAGGTGGTTCCCGGTGCACCAACGAGGTCCCAAAGGTGTTCGATGAGAAATAGATACGGCGAGGCTGCCGACCAGAGAAGGATGTGAATTCCGTTCAGGCTGGTGAGAATTCACCATGCGTCGTGCAATCGGGCATTATCTTGCTAGAACATTGTGTCGGGTGCAGCCTGCACCAGAGGCCGAACCACAGCCCCTCAACTCGTGTGACGTACTGGTTCGCTGTCAGAGTACCGGAAATGTGCAGCGGGATTGTACACTGATCGAATATGATGCCATCTCAAACCATAATGCCCGATGTGAAACCGTTGTGACGCTCGGTGAAAAGGGCTGGCACATAGCGTTTTCGGGGATACCACTACACTCGTCCACGGTCATCATTCCTCCACAGACAGAGCTGAAAACAATATTTAGTGGTCCTGTTGCGATGACGACGACACCGTGCAGCCCTGTGTCGAGCGATTTGGCAACCTCGTTGAAGGTTACAAGTTGTGACCTTCAGTTCTGATATTTTATATATTTTTTATTTTAATATAAAAATTTTAATCAACAAATGTTACGTGTATTACTACTGGTAATCATACGTTTACTAGAAAAATTTATATTCTGTTCGATATGAAGTGAATAAAGTATATTAGTTCTTTATATTAGTTGATAGCAGAATAAAGTTTTGATTTCAAACAATGTTTGACATAATGTGCGATAATTTCACAACGAATAAACGTACATGCATAAGTGTTATATCGAGTTGTACTGTACAAAACAATATTCTACGTCTTTCTGCTTATTGCCAGCAAAAAACTAGTTAACTAGACAATGTTAATTTTGACAAAAAGTTACAAATTATCAAGTTTAAATGTCAGTTCTGATATATATTATTATTTTTTTCTTATAAATTTTTCTAATAAAATGTATTGAAAAATATCGTATTTAAAACTAAAAATATTAATAAATGTAAGTGATTTTTTCATAAGAATATAATGATAATTTGATTTTTGGTAAATTTTTAAAATAATATCGCCTGACTGACCTATATTACCTTAGGAGGCAATATAGGTCAGTCAGGCGATATTAACGTAAACAAGATGTCGGGAGTCAAGGATTTAATATCCAAAGGGTGGAAAGGGTCAAATATATAAAACAAATTGGAGATTAAGCCTATGCTAAATCTATGAAATGTTTATAGATCTTTCCTTGCACTTTGTTCCTGTATCTGTTTTCTTGATATTGACTCTTATGCATCTTCTTCTGATTGCACAACAATTACCGGCACGGTTTCATAAGTACTAGAGTCCTATGGTAAATATTAACAATCGTATAATTAAATACTGTGAAAACAGAATAAATTTCGTTCCAGTGGATTTTTCGGGGGTTTTTTTAATATACAGTACTGTATATAAAATCTAATTAAATAAAGTTTTAACGCTTTTATCGATTAACCTTGTATAAATATTTGAAAAACCTTGTTTCTTAATCTTATCATTGATCATCTAAAATAACAGTAACATCGTAAACCAGATGTCCCTTGCTCAGTCCGAAAATTTGTATATACATATAAATCCTCTTTTTCGATTCAGAATCAAATTTTCAAGATGCAAACCATTCTCTTATTCGTTACTGCCGTTGCTGTTGCTATTGTCCTCACGGTAAGGTATAGTTTAATATTATTTTTATTTGCACAGTTTGCACAAAAGTGTTCAAATTAGCTGATATTCTTTCGTTGCATGAGAATACAAGAATTTTCTTCCCAATAAAAATATTGAACACTTATTTTACGTATTTCTTACAATGAAAAGTTTTTACAAAATGGATTCGTGTTGAATTCATTCTGAAATTCGTGAATAGCTAGAGTTAAGTTGATATTTCCTGTTCCTTATCCATGTTAATCAACTGAAATTAGTCGGCCTGTTAAGAGAACGATATATTTTTTTTTAATTTTCCTCCCTGTGGGCATGAGAGGTGATAATGGGTCCATAATGGGTCAGTCGATTGGTCAATATATCAGGATGGTTCATCCCCAAAAAGTTTCTGGGATTTCTTTATCTTTAATCACTCGATCATCTGACCGATAAGAAGATAAGATTATAGATATAATTCTATAATAAAGTCACCCTATTGTGAGTTTAATTCCTCCCAATAAATCATCATGAATAAGAAATTGGGGTTTTTTCATTCATGGTGATTGATGTCGAATAGTCCATATCGTGGTGTCGTGTCATTAGCAAATACAAATTCGAAGTTTTCAATTCATTGCATTACAATGGAGATAAATGGAAAAATCTTCGCAGATCTGTTTCGAATTATAGCAAAATACCAGTTGAATATTCAGCAATAAATCATAATTT